ACCCTAACGCAGCTTCAAGACCCTCCCCTCCTCTAGGCTCTCCAGGCTTCAGGACCTCCAAGAGTTCTTAATTTGCAGCTAAAATGTTCTTTTAAAGTTGTGGATGAGCTTTCCCAAGAGTTACCTAAGCATCCCTTCAAAATTTGGCCTTATCCAAAGCTTGAGTAGGCATAACCGTCGATCTCGCCGTCGGCGGCCTCGAGGGCGCTGTCGGAGGGCTTCTGAAGAATTTTGTCCTGTAGTCTCTGGAACACCTCGCCGTCGGCGGGGTCGAGGGCGCCGTCGACGGCCTAGTTCAAATCTTCACATTTTGGTCATTTTCACTCCAAACTCGCTCCTTTTCGTATCTTTTTGCTCCAATGACCATATTCATTATTCTTACAACAAAACATCAAAAACACCTTTCTTTAAAGTGCAATATCATTAAAAACAGTATGTGCAATATAAAAACACCTTTCTTTAAAGTGCAATATCATTAAAAACAGTATAAAATAAGTATAAAAATCTCAACATATTTTCCTTTGGTCATATTGTTATATGGATTTCCCTTTGGGGGTAAATCCTCAGCGGTGAAGTAAATAGGTGGGTGGCTCATGGGTTTCAAAGTAAAGACTGCAACACAGAGTTCTTCTGTTTGTTGTCTCTTCCGATTTTCTCTCATGGGTGGCTCACTTCCTCCAAAGATAATGGGCACACACCCCGTGATGTGAATGACATTGGTACGAATGAGTATGCGGTCACTACTTTAAGTCACGGCTTTAAGGGTGACAAATTCTTTAGCTTCCCCTTCTTTATCAACTTCTCAACCAGGCTTTGTAGAGCTTTTTATTCTTCCGTTTCGTGCTTGTGATATCTGTGATATTTGTAATACTTCCTAATATCTCGAACAAGGCGTCCAATCTCATCAAGGTTGCCTTTTCGAAGAACTCCTTATCCTGAATGGTGTCCACTTTTTCTGTCATGGACACCCTCAGTGAGGTTTCGTGGGGGATTCTGTGGTCGTAATGAGTTTGCTCAGGATAAGGGATGATCAGTGGTGTTGGGTCTTCCCTTGTGTCCTCTGATTCTCACGATAATATGGGTTGGGTGGCATTTGGGGGGTTTTCATAGCGTGGGCGGATGTCAGTCGCTTATTCTGCCTTGGATGCCTTCTGCTGTTTTGCGGGGGCCTCTTTTGGTATCTCCGTTTAGCAGTTCAGGAGCATTTTCATAGGCAACTATGTACTTAGTGGCCATTTCTAACAGATTTGCCAGACTCTGTGGCTCAATGAGGTTAAGGTCAAAGCAAAATCTCTCCGACCTTACTCACCGTGTGAGTGCGGCTTAGGCCATGTCAGTTTTCAAGTCTTTCACATCCAATATCTAACTGAATACATCTGATAAACAAACACACACTCTCGTTGACTCCTATTTTAGTAGCCACAAAGATCAGTAGCTCTTCTTGAGTCTCAAAGCGCTAATGAACTGAGATAAAAATAACTTCTTAAATTTTGCAAAACAGATGATCACTCCCGCGGGCAACCTGTTGAATCATCTTGGCACAAATGACCTCACCGTTGAAACAGATGATCACTCCCATTGTTTGTTGGTGGCTTTACTTGAGGTGGGG